TTTGCCCCTGTATGATAACGTCCTATGTCTGAGAGAGAGAGAACCTGGTGCAAAGTTTTAGGAATGCTGTAATTTAAAGAGACTCTGTTCAAGGAAAGTCCCTCTTAACTGGCAAAATTCCCCCTACCCCTTACTTTATACAAGGTGCATTTATGTCTTCTGCTCACTTCAAGAACCAATTTGGGGTCAAACAGCACAGCATGTTTTATGTAGATTTCCACAAAAAGTGAATCCACAAGTGAATGGCACCATTTTTCAGAGATCTTACAACAGGGATTTGCTCTCAGCAAGGGCCAATCTAAATCATTTTGCTTCCAAAGGTGGGTCAGCATCACCGCAAAAGGCAAGGTGGGTATTATCCTGGCTGGCCAAATTATTTCAGCAAGTAGTACGTACAATCCCCCCTCCCAATGCTCCTGCACCTGGAAAATAAACAAAACAATAATTAACAAATTGCTACCCTTTTGTGACATCCAAAATATTGCCTCTTCACTGTTACCAAAGGTGGGATCTGCTCTTTCCAAAGTGGAGGTAATTCATACAGAGTCAGGAACAATCTTAATGCAGGACTTTCCTGTGAAGTTGTTTTTGTGCTTTTGCAATATGATAAGAATGAAATATTCTTATGCATTAGCTTTTTAATCAAGCTGCTGTCATAGTTCCCAATATATGTAATGAGTTAATAGAAATGTTGAATTCTGCCAGGAATATACATTATAAGGAAATGAACTACAGCAGGCCTGGACCTAAAAAATTCATAGCATAGTTTCAGTAATTAAAAATGAATTGTAAAATTTCTCAGGTTTGTGAGAGAACTGTAATTTGTGAAAATGTGTCTGTTGAAAAACAGGTATTATTGTTTCATTGCAGTTCAAGCCCTGAATGGTGTAGTGGTTTGAAACCCACTGGATAACCTTTGGTGAGTCACACTCTCTCAGCCTCAGAATACCCCATGATAGGCTATTAAGGTCAAAATAAGTCAGAAAATACTTGAAGGCACACAACAACAACAACAAATGAGCTGTCATGTTTGGGATAATTCTGTTTGTGTGCTAGCAGCTGCAGGCTTCAATTATAACTTGATCCTCTGAAAGAATCTATATGTCAAGCATGAAAAAGATCACCTATACATAATACTGCTGAGGACCAGTGAAGCCTACAACCAGTCAGTTCACAAGATCATCAATATATGAACAGCTGTAAGCAACCGCACTATCTGCAAGGAACTTAATTGGCAAACCAATTGTGCATAAATTGTTGTCTTGTAAGCAATATTATCCAAATATGAATTTGATCAAAAACAAATCTAGCCAGCTGGATTACTTGGTTGTTATTGAGCATTTCTACATGGCAAAAAGCTACCATGGTATGGCAATTGCTTGGGGAAACGGCAACTTTACATTCTGACAAGAGTCCTTTGAAATAGCACTTTGTGGAAGTACAGAATTAAAGTATATTAAAACATGTTTCAATTGAATGAACCAGCATGTTACATCCATTTTCTTTTATTTCCATTTGTTGTCTCTTGCCTCTTTGTGTTTAATATTAAAACACTGTTTACCCTGGGGAGAAATGGAGCAGATGATGCTGTAGGAGAAATGCAGCACAGAACAGATAAAGAGATAATACAGGAATACCTGGCTACTCTAAATTAAATCAAGTCTCTAGGGCCAGATGAACTACATCTAAGGGCATTAAAAGAATCGGCAGAAGTAATAAAACCACTGTCAATAATCTTTGAGAATTGCTGGAGAACATGAGAGGTCCCAGCAGACTGGAGGACAAATGTTGTCCCTATCTTTAAACAAAACAAAACAAGGAGGGAAGACTCAAACAATTACTGCCCAGTCAGCCTGACACTAATACCAGAAACTATTCTAGAGGAGGTCATTGAACAGACAATCTATAAGCACTTAGAAGGACATGCCGTGATTACTAAAAGTCAGCACGGGTTTCTCAAAAACAAGTCATGCCATATTAATCTTATCTCTTTTTTGATAGAGTCACAAGCTTGGTAGATGAAGGGAATGCTGTGGATGTAGTACATCTTAATTTCAGTAAGGACTTTGACAAGGTCCCTTATAATATCCTTGCAAAAAAACAAGTAAAATGTGGGCTTGGCAGTGCAGCTGTTACGTGGATATGTAATTGGTTGACTGACGGAATCCAAAGGGTGCTCAGCAATGGCTCCTCTTCATCCTGGACAGAAATGACCAGTGGGGTGCCACAGGGCTCTGTCCTGGACCCAGTGCTATTCAATATTTTTATCAATAACTTGGTTGAAAGACTAGAGAATATGCTTATCAAATGTGCAGATGACACAGAATTATGAGGGGTAGCCAATATCCCAGAGGACAGGATCAGAATTCAAAATGATCTTAACATATTAGAAGGCTGGGCCAAAACTAACCAACTGAATTTCAGCAAGGAGCAATGTAAGGTACAGTGGGCCTTTGGTATCCACGGGTTCAGCATCTGTTGATTTGAGCAACCATGGATTGAAATGAAGAAACATTTAACTTTTTCTTTTAGTCTGCAATTGACTGCAGCCAGGTCGAGAAGCTGTTCCAAGATGGGAGCAAAAGCTGAAGTGCCAAGGTCCTGGCACCAGGCACACATTTGTTCTATTTCAATTGTGGTGATTCTGCTGTAATACTAATAATACTAATAATAAAAGTTTATTTTTATCCCGCCCCTCTGCAGCACAATTGGGGCGGCTTACAGTAAAACATCATTACAATAAAACCATCAGCACCCTAACCCACCCACCCCGTAAAAAAGTATTATGTCTCCATCAAAAGGTGGAAGCAACAGCTGGTGTACTCCCATCAGGAAGAATGTATGCCTGGCACTAAGGGCTTGACACCATTGCTCCCTCCGTCCCCGGGGTGATGGAAGTCAATTCCAGGAAGGAGTTAACAGGGGAGGCAGAAGTGACAGGTGCCTGGTGCTTGCTGCCTGGCACCTGGGCACAGGCCTTGCCATCGCAGTTTGCGCTACTGTACTGGTACTGCTTCTTGACCTGGCTGCAATCGATTGCAGGTAATTTTAAATTTTAAATTCTGATCCGAGTAGCCTTTTTTGTATCTGCGTGGGTTCTGGAACTAACCCTCTGTGGATACCAAGGGCCCACTGTACTACACTTAGGCAGAAAAAAAAATGAAACACACAGATATAAGATAGGTGGCAACTGGTTGGACAACAACATATGAGAAAGGGATCTAGGAGTCTTAGGGGGGTTGCAGACTGCCAGAAATAGTGCAAATTGAGTCCACTTTAAGGGTTAGGGTTAGGGAATCATGGGAACTGTATTTTATTGTGGCACCAGAGCTCTCTGACAGAGAAGGCTCAATGTCTCAGAAAAAAAGCAATTCCCATGATTCCCTAGCACTAACTCTAACCCTAAAAGTGGACTCAATTTGCACTATTTCTGGCAGTCTGCAACCCCCCTTAGTGTACCACAAGCTGAACATGAACCAACAATGTGGTGCAGCAGCTAAAAAAGCCAATGAGATTCTAGGCAGCATCAATAGGATTATAGTATCTAGATTGAGGGAAGTAATAATAACACTCTATTCATCTTTGGACAGACTCCCCCTGGAATACTGTGTCCAGTTCTGGGCGCCACAATTCAAAAAGGATGTTGACAAGCTGGAGCATGTCCTGAGGAGAGTAACCAAAGCGAAGGGTCAGGAGAGCATGCCCTATGAGGGGAATTGTAGGGAGCTGGGTATGTTTAGCTGGGAGAAGAGAATGTTAAGAGGGATATGACAGCCTCAGGTTTGTCTGCTTCTTGTTTCTGAATCTCTGGGCAAAGGTACATTGCAAAGGAGATGGCTGCTTTAGCAGACATGTTTGTCTTTTACAAAACTGGACTTCTTCATCTGCCACTGCTGATGTTGCTTGCAGTTTTGGTTCCAGGTGGCAAGACAAAGGGGTTTATGGGCATCCTATCATCCCAAAATATTCTAGCATAGCCACCGACTGTCCCTTTGAGGTACAGAATGTGAATTGCCATGGATCTAACACAGTTCATGGAGAGATGGATAAACCATAAGCCACTGTGAATTGGATTAACGAATTAGAGGAATTAATATTTATGCATTCATTCAGAATGTGGGCACTGCCAAGCCCACATTTTACTTGTGTTTTTTTTTTTTTTTGCAAGGATATTATAAGGGACCTTGTCAAAGTCCTTACTGAAATTAAGATGTACTACATCCACAGCATTCCCTTCATCTACCAAGCTTGTGACTCTATCAAAAAAGAGATAAGATTAATATGGCATGACTTGTTTTTGAGAAACCTGTGCTGAAATTAAGATGTACTACATCCACAGCATATGTGACAGCCACAAACAATAAACACACAAAGTGCAATGAAGAAAAGTGGCTGCATTAGTCATTTCATTTCAGTACAATCTCCTTCGTATCATGGATATGAGAGCTACAGGTAAAAAGAACATTGCATACATCTCTTTCTGTAACTCACTTCATTAATAATAAAGACACTGCAGCCAAATCTTGTTTGCTGTCCTTCTCAGAATGGACTAGATGGACCCTAGTTCGTCCCATGATGCCTCATTTTAATTTGTTTAATTTAGTTAATTTTATTCATTGAATGTATTTTATGATGTGGTGTTAGTTTTAATTGGGAGTAAGAGGATCATGCTATTTGATCATGTTGTTTTATAGCTGTATTGTTGCATTTTTATTATTGTTACCCGCCTCGATCCTTTGGCGAGAGGCGGGCTATAAATAAACATTTTATTTATTTATTTATTTTTCCTTCTCCAGCAAGAACTAGTGTGGTGTAGTGGTTTGAGCGCTGGACTACGACTCTGGAGACCAGGGTTTGAATCCCTGCTCAGCCATGGAAACCCACTGAGTGACCTTGGGCGAGTCACACTCTCTCAGCAACACAGAAAGGCAAAGGCAAACCCCCTCTGAACCAATTTTGCCAAGAAAATCCCATGTCAGGTTCGTCTTAGGGTTGCCATAAGTCAGAAACAATAGCAACCTTCTCCAGCAATGTATGCATCTGATGGCCAGTGCTATCTCTAAGCAACAGGGTCCTCCTGTGTATAAAAACCAAAATTAATTATTTTTCTCTTTTAACACATGGTGATCACATGATTTCCACACAATGCAGCGAACATTGAAGCAGCGCTAGCATAATTTTAACAGTCTTCCTCCTTTGCATTATGATAAACTGATGGTAAGCCGCTTTTTAGAGCTGGATGTGATGAATCAAGAACTCCTCTTCCTTCCCGCAATATGATATCACAGGTAGTAAATGATTTCCACACTTCTATACAGTAATACAAAGTATAAGAGCCCCAGGGCTGGCATAATTGTACAAGTTGATCATTCAAACCCACAAAATGCAAAAGGTGCGTTCCATATTTGGGGCTTCATATTACCCAGAAACCTATCTCAAGCCTGCTGTAAGATTCCTTTGTGATAAGGAAGGGACATGCGAAAGCCCTGTCTAGCCATTTGCTCTGTCAAAACTAGGCACAAGTTTGCCTTGTGTATTATATATTGTATTGTAAATGTTTCCTGTAAGCCTTTTTGAACAGCTGGGGAGGAAAGTGGTATAAAAATCATGTTAATATGGGGGGAATTAAATTTCTTCTGTTTAACCTGAGAGTACACTTTACTGTAACACTGCTGCCCTGAATTTCACACGTTTTGCTGGCTATAGCGTCTTCACAAAACTCCTTTATTGACTCATGACCCTTGCATTTCCATCACATCCATCCTCAGAACATTACTTTGCTGTGAAGCCTTTGGATCTTCATACTATTTATTATTTATTTGCCTAAACAAACAATAAAAAACTAGTATGTAGAGAGATCATGTAGCACCATTGAGACTGAGGGCCTTTACAGGCTGCCAGCTTGAGGCCACTTTGTCCTAGTTCGGTGCTAAGGAATCATGGGAACTGTAGTATATTGTGGCACCAGAGCTCTCTGACAAAGAAAGCTCAATGTCTCAGAAAAAAATACAGTTCCCATGATTCTCTAGCACTAAACCAGGACAATTAAAGTGGCCTCAAGCTGCACTATTTCTGGCAGTCTGTAAAGGTCCTAACTAAAAGAAGTTGGCAGCATGAGCTTTCATAGACTTCGGTCTACTTCCTCAGATGCTTTTGGTCTTATCAAAAAGATAGTTCTTTTTAATGCTGAAGGCATTTGTGTCTTGGGTCTGATCAGCACACCAGAAATAATGCTGTTTTGACACCGCTTTAACTGTTATGGCTCAATCCTATGGAGTCCTGGGATTTATAGTTCAAAGTAGATCCCCGCTCCAATACGCATTCGAAAATGCGCTCTGGCAGCCATTTTTCCAAGTAGGAACCTTTGCACTGGAGCGAGGATCTACCTACTCTGAAGTCGGATTCCGCTGCAAAAGCCGTGCGATAAAACATGGCTGCAGTGCGAATTAGTTATATTTGGGAGAGGTAAGGAGTATTATTTAAGGTAGGGGTAGGCAACCTTTCCCCTTTAAGGGCCGAGGGACTTCAGCTCCTACAATCCCAGGAGCTATTGGCCAACATGGGACTATTGGCCAACATGGCTGAGGCTTCTGGGAGCTGAAGTCCCTCGGCCCTTAAAGGGGAAAGGTTGCCTACCCCTGATGTAGAGATTCCTAGAGGGAACACTCCACTAGACATTTGTAGCTCCTCCTGATAAGGCATGCGATAATCTCCTTGGACACAAGTCTAGGGCTCTGTTTTGCGCTTGGCCATATAAAGCCACAGGGTGACCTTGGGCAAATGACACTCTCTCAGCCTCAAGAGGATGGCAGAAACATGTCCCATGGGAAGAAACTGTCCAAGAAACCCCACAAGCCTTAGGGTTTCCATAATAATAATAATAATAATAATAATAATAATAATAATAA